ATGCTTGCAAATCACAAAATGAAGTACTCATCTACATTGAACTCAATGTCTAACGTAATAACTTAGACGTGAGTTGAGCTTTCCTTCACTTGCAATTAGATAATTAGGCTTTCCATATCCCTTCCGATGTACCATGTCCCTTGCAAAGACTCTTGCAAACGGATCCGTTAAAACCGGGACTGTACCAAGTCCAGTGCTACAACACTATTACCTAGGATTTCCCACATAGCTAAGTTTCAAGCTCATGTGCCTTCACTTGCCATTATAAACACCTGTTTATATGATATGACCAGTGTAGTAGCGCTGTTATAATGTACTAAACTGGTGACATCGGTTTTTGGCCAAACCGGAATCTAAATAATTAAATTCCTCAGCCAATCAACTTCTTGCATGTCAAAATCAACATAAGAATTGAAATTCAGATGCCATAGTTGAAAAGACAACTTTGCTCTTAGAAACCCATAAAACAACAGCTCCTCCAAGCAGAAATATCCATCCACTAATTGAGGAACAAGTTTCATGATTAGACATTCAACTGGCATTAGAATATCTTTCCAGGATAGAAATTTCTATTAAATATACTAAACCATAATTAATGGTTTTATTCAAGTATATCAAAATTTCTTTTAATCTCATCCACTTAGCCAACTGAACATGATGATAGATAAAATTTTAATATTCTATTAGTGAACTGGTGAAATAAAATATTTAATTGATTATACCGGAACCCACTTAATAGGTTCCTAGTCAATAAATATTTATATCCTGCAAATTCTACAACCAAGAATTTCAATCATCATGTTGAACTTATTAGCAGTGAGGACTTCTTAAAATAAAAATTCAACCTCCTCCATTTGAGATATCATCAACTTTGGAGAATAAACCTCCTCCATTTAGAGATCATCAACTTTGGAGAATAAACCATTTTGATTTTAAGCTTTTAACTTTTCATGTTTCTTCTAAACTGAAGAATCATATCAAACTTAAATCATAATCCATGATTTAAATTTGAAATTCTTTTCACCGCTAACTACCATACTAGACAAACCAGTAAACTTGTTGGCTTTCAGAATTTTAACACATTCTCAATATGAGAAACTGTGTGTTAAATACATTCATTAACTTTTTTATGAATTTCATTATGCATTCTTCATGCATAAAAGTTTCTGCATGCCTTTATAAGAAATATAACAGAATATTTCTTGGGCTTTCTGCCTTTATCAGAAATATAAAAAATATTTCAAAGGCTTTCTGCCTTAATCAGAAATATATATAACATAATATTTCAGACTTTCACAAGGATAAAATTATCTGTGTGCTAAAATTATCAATAATTTCATGCATGCCATTGAAATTAATTCCAATTTACAATCATTAAACATTGTAACCATGCATAAGAAACCAACAAATTGATAACACCAAATTAATCCAATTTTGGTAGATTTACAGCACCTCAAGATCCAACATATTATACATGTATCTTGTATACTATGCATGCAACCGAGACAGAGTCTCAATATAAAAATATTTATACACATGCATAAACATATCCTTGTATTTAACAGGCTTTGCAAAACTCAAAAAAGTCTCATGTAAATCTTCTAGACATAATCCAGAACTAAACCAGTAAGTAAAATAACACTTACAATCCTGCCGAGGCCGAGACAAATAAAAAGTACTGTACTGATCACATCCCGTAACTTGTATCCTCGATAATTCATCTCTTCCGGCCTTTGATGCGCTAAAACCACTCACACCACCGTGGAGAGAACATCTCTTCTCATTCCAAATAAATCATGGCTAATAAAATGATTTATTTATATAAAATCATTTTCACATCTCTCTAATCATCTTGGCATAATTTGATATGCCCATGATTTTGAGTGAAAACAGAAATGAAACTCCATAGCATATATTCAAACCACATGTACAACATGTACATAGCATGCCATGAACACCATGCAAAATCTACACAGAAATCTTCTTGTACAATAAACAATGACAAACCCAAAAGTGATTTCTGTCATCCTCTCATCAACAAATTCGGAATCTCATTCCGAAAATATTACCGTGATGAGAACTTATTCTTCCATGCCTGACATCTTGCCTTCAAAACTTTCAAGGTAAGACCAATGATCACATGTTTATAAACTTTAAAGCTTATAGATTGTTGGAAAAAAATTGTTTGTAATCTGTAATACATTTGAAATACAACAAAATACAGAGAACAACATGGAACAAAAACGGGATCATTTGATATATTCAGGCGTGTAATCACTTTCCTATAAGCTTTAAATCTCCCTCTATAAAAGCAACAAGGTTCAAGATTTAATCTTATGGGATACAAGAAGATGAATGAAATTCTTAAGTTGTTTTGTTTAAGAATTTCCTGTAGAATTGTAGAACTGTGAAATATCAAGATTAATGCAAGTTTATTGCATATTCTTGCATTACCATCTTCAGATGTTTCTCCAAAATATTTATAAATGCAAATATGACTGTTGGAGAAGTTACATGGAAGTTTTCTGCAGTTTTCAAAAACTTATCTTCCATAAAATATATCTTAAATGATGTATTTATCACAAGAGAATATTAATTACATAAATCATGTTCAACATGAATATATATGTAATTATGAACCTTTGTAAGGTTGTGAACCGCATGCAAATAACTGTGCAAATTATAATAATGTATATATATATATATATATATATATATATATATATATATATATATATATATATATATATATATATATATATATATATATATTAATTTTCTAGCACACTTTTGCATGTAAGTTTGGGAAATTGGAAGCTTACGTGTTGTATAATCATTTTCTAAATGAAACACACAAATCTCCTATATTGGGGAATAATTCTCCAATATTGAGGAATAATTCCCAATGTTGGGGAATAGACAAAGCCTTCCCGCAAACTCATTCTCCAATTAACTTTCTACCAAACTAAAATAATATTTATAACTCCACAACTCCAAATATTATTTTAACCTTTTCATGGTAGTACATCTGAAACTTTAATCTCCATTACTATATAAATTTTCAACACGCATGCGATGCACGGATAAATTTTTTTATTATATATTTAGATAATAAAATTAAAGATGAAATTATAAAGAATTCTAATGTTAAACCAATCTTGGAGCACATGAAAGCTTTGAAACTATTTTAAGGTATATATGCTGGATAAATCCATTCATAGTGTAATTGATGACTACAAGTTTAGTTATTACTAATAATCACCTAAGAATATAATACTCCTATCTCTCCTCTCTCAAGAGGCAAATTAGTCCACCAAATTAAGCAAGATTACAGACGTCATTATCACGGCAATTAAGACAGCACAACCAACTTTAATTTTTTTTTTTTTTGAGCCTTTGGGGATTCACTCTCTGCACTGCTTAGCGTATTGATAAATATTTAAACTCAAATATAATATCAACCATTCATTTTAATAAATTATTACACTACCATTTTTTTTTGTTTCCGTTAAGAGTTTAATATTATTAGCTCTTATTAAGATGGTAGATATCAATTCAAATATTTTTAAAATTATAGTATTTTTACCCGTGCGATGCACGTGCAATGCGTGTGCGATGCACAGATAAAATTTTTTTATTATATATTTAGATAATAAAATTAAAGATGAAATTATAAACAATTCAAATGTTAAACCAATCTTGGGGCACATGAAAGCTTTGTAATTATTTTAAGGTATGCTGGATAAATCCATTTATAGTGTAATTGATGACTACAAGTTTAGTTATTACTAAGGGATAAGGGTCAAATAAGTCCTCCAACTATACTCAAATGTACAATTAAGTCCTTCAACTTCAAAAAGTTCCAATTAAAATCTTAAAGTTACAAAAAATGTGCAATTACACTATTTTGTAGGTTACCTTCAGGTAACCTGTAAATTATTTATTAAATTATTAATTAAACTTTTTAAGCTTATTTGACGGGTTGACGTGGCAATGCGGCATTCACATATTTTTAAAATTGATATATTATATTCAATTTTGAAGAAGAAGAAGAAGGAGAAGAAGAAGGAGAAGGAGAAGGAGAAGGAGAAGAAAGAATAAGAAGGAGGAGGAGGAGGAGGAGGAGGAGGAGGAGGAGGAGGAGGAGGAGGAGGAGGAGGAGGAGGAAATAGTCATCCTATAATTAATGTCTCATGTTCTTTTCCTTAGAAGTTGCCACAGTTGCCGATAGCAGAGTAAATACCAGTAGCTTAGCTAAAGAACTCGTCTTTGATCTTTCTTCCCTAAACGTAATTAACAAAGTTCTTTCGGGAAGGAAGATGGTGACTTTAAGCGGAGATACTGAAAACGACAGACGCCCTGGTGGTCGACGGCGAATAACAAAAAAATAAATATAAAAGAAGATTATTTTAAAAATTTGTTATTATTATTATTGTTAATTGTTAATTAGCTAATTAAAATAAAAATATAATATAATATATCAATTTTAAAAATATGTGAATGTTTCGTTAGCCCGCCAAATAAGCTTTAAAAATTTAATCAATAAATTAATTTACAGGTTACCAGGTAATCTGCATAACCTACAAAATAGTGTAATTGTACTTTTTTTTTTTTGTAAGTTTAAGGTTTTAATTGAAGCTTTTTAAAGTTAAAGGGCTTAATTGAACATTTGAGTATAGTTGGAGGGCTTATTTGACCCTTATTCCTATTACTAATAATAATCACCTAAGAATAATACTCCTATCTCTCCTCTCTCAAGGAGGCAAATTAATCCACCAAATTAAGCAAGATTACAGACGTCATTATCACGGCAATTAAGAAAACACAGCCAACTTTAGTTTCTTCTTTTTAAAACAAAACTAAATACTTATAAGATTCGAACCTTTGATCATTTCATATTACATTGAAACAATGACATTTACCATTTAAACCAAATTAACATTTTTAAAGGTCAACATTAGTTAGTTTGGTCTGATCTTAACCACAACAATTAATGATAGATGTTCTTTCTTCGAGTTCTACTATGAAAGAATACAGCCAAACAGGTACCAAGAAAGCAAAGACAACCCTGATGACAAAAGTGGTGTGAAAGCACTGCATGCCTGCAGTGCAAATACCGCCACTGTCCCCAGAAATCATCCCTTGTCTCTTGTAAAGATAAGCTTCAAAGTCCCCAAAGATGAAGGAGCTAATGGGTATATTAATCACCAAAATTCTTGGCCCCAAAGAGCTAGCTTAGTGGTGGTGGAGACTGCAACGTAACAAACGTGATTGCGCCGGTGCAGACCCCTATTATGGCCGTGCTGGTATAGAGGCAGTCATGGCGGACGCAGATTTTAAAGGATATGGCTAAAAGAAATGGTCCGACCCTTGCGTCATATTTCATTCAGATCATGAAGCAGCACAATTATAAACGATTCGTTTTAGCATTATATCATCAAGCAGGGCTGATTTTTAGATTTTTGTGGCCCTGATAAATAAATAAGGTCTTACCAAAATCAAAAATTTTAAAACTAATATCGTAATTTTTTCTAATCTATACTATTCTAATCAAATATCAACCAAGGAAAAGCATATTCGGGGAGACCGTTTCTCTCTAATCTAGAAACGGTCCCACATGTCTCTTTCTGCTCATACGAAAAATTTCAGTAGTGTTCTGCATTGATACGTATTCACACGTATTTGAATGAATATTTAACAAATTTTGAAAGGATTAAAGAAATAGTAACAATTTTATTATCTAAATATATAATAAAAAAATTTATCCATGCATCATGCGCACTGCACGGATAATTGGGCAATTATTTGGTCAAATTCAAGCAAGGATAACATCAAAAAACATAATCAGTACAACCCATTTCACCAATTGCACTATATAATATTCGTTGTTATAATTTATATTTGTATATTAATCAAAATATTCTTAAAGATTATAACAAATTTATTCCGTGCAACACACAGGTAAAAATATTAGTAATAATAATAATAATAATAATAATAATAATAATAATAATAATAATAATAATAATAATAAGGTGGTAAAATGTTACTGTGCGCAAAGAAAAGCTAAAAAAACATATTATGGAATAAATTACAATAATAATAATAATAATAATAATAATAATAATAATAATAATAGTGTGCACAAGTTTTGAACTTTAGACCTTAAAGTTGAAATACAAAATACAAAAGACACAAAATCCTACCATTTCTTCATATAACTTTTTAATTTTAATTGAAAACTTTTAGCTTTTATTTCTAGACTAGACTAACTAGGTAAAAATGAAATATTGGGCTTCTAAAATTTGGGGTCCTGTGCGGTAGCCCAGCTTGCACTGCCCAAAATCCGGACCTGTCATCAAGAGTAAGAAAATTGTTCATTTATTTTAGTAATATAACTTAATAACTTTTATTTGAAGTATTAGATATTAAATATTTAATATATGTGTGTTTTGTTATTGTAGAAATCATTGGTTATATATATGTTGGATCCCTTGGCTTGTGACCATTGAAGTTAAAGCTTCTCTAAATATGTAAGTAAATAAATACTTTATTATCAACATAAGTATTTTAAGTTATATTAATTTATGTATATATGTTTATATATAATTAATATAAGGCATTTCATGATATTCCTACGAATGGACGAGTGACTAGGAATATCAACTGGAAGGCATGCAAAGTATGAAAATTAAATTAAAGTTTTAATATGATATTTTGAATTTTTATTGTTAAAACTACTAATATATATATATATGTGTGTGTGTGTGTATGTATTTTTTTTTTTGAAAGTTATTGGCTCTATTACATTGTAGTATCTGTTCATATACTTTCTCAACCTACTGAAACACAAAGAACCAATAACGCCTCCACGGAGGCTTAAACTCATAATCTTCCAAATGGAAGTCCAACCCGGATACCATTAGACCACATAGTCCTGGTATGTATTTAATTTGTAGTATCCACAACAATCTGGAGGTGTTGAGTGTGGATATTATGTGATGCGATCAGTGGCGGAGCCACCTTTGAGCTCCAGCCCCCCCCCCCCCCCCCCCTCGTAACACCCCACTTTTCTAACTCTTAATTACATCTCTAATCAGTCATTAACATGACTAGGCAGCGGAAAACTAGAAGATAAATAGTGGGAATGTCACCGCCACAACCACCAGTCTTTGGAGATTGCACATGCTAAAAGGGGTAAAACTAGAAGATTAAGTCTGGGAACTAAATATAAATACTGGAAAAGTAAGGGGGGAAAACATCACCCCGAAAGTCTACAACGTCATCAAATAGTATAAGGTCATAAGTCTAAATCCATAACATAAACATCAACCGAACTAGAGTTTAGATTACTCTATCTACGAGACTAATCTAACTCGACTTCTTCACACAGCTGGGCCCACCTGAAAGGGGTTTTGCAAGCAACACATAGACAAACAGGAAAAACACCTGTTAGCTCGAAGCTAAGTATAACCACACTCAACCCTGTAAAGCATTCTAACATATACTTGGAAAACATTTGATATCTTTATAGCAATAAGCTAATCTCAACTCATTTTTAGATTGTCACATTCTTTCTAGATGCTTACACCCTATAATATCAGCTGGCATGCTTATGTAAGTACAAGATTGTTCACGTAGATTCAACAGCTTATAAACTTCTTAGATAACTTAACAAGTAACTCATGTTTACGGATTGGATCATGTTAAAGGACCATACAACAGGTATTTACATGTTTTCACATTCTTACCACATAACTTGATAAGTAGAGCTTCTACTACAACACGCTAATCATGCTCAAGGAATATCTGAAGTTAAACTTCTCATTAAACAGTCTCTTACGATGCTCTATTCACATACAATCACGTATAAGATTATGATCATACTTCTTATGCAATCTAATGCAATAGTATAATCATACTCTTATGCAATCTCGCGCAACAATATACTCACTCATATGCAATCTAGTGCAACAACTTGTATTCACATGCAATCTAGTGCAATGATATAATCATACTCTTATGCAATCTAATGCAATAATATAATCATACTCTTATGCAATCTCGTGCAACAATATACTCATACTCATATGCAATCTAGTGCAACGATATACTCATACTCATATGCAATCTAGTACAACAACTTGTATTCACATGCAATCTAGTGCAATAATATAATCATACTCTTATGCAATCTCGTGCAATAATATACTCATACTCATATGCAATCTAGTACAACAACTTGTATTCACATGCAATCTAGTGCAATAATATAAGCATACTCTTATGCAATCTCGTGCAATAATATATTCATACTCATATGCAATCTAGTGCAATAATATACTCATACTCATATGCAATCTAATACAACAACTTGTATTCACATGCAATCTAGTGCAATAATATAATCATACTCTTATGCAATCTCGTGCAATAATATACTCATACTCATATGCAATCTAGTACAACAACTTGTATTCACATGCAATCTAGTGCAATAATATAATCATACTCTTATGCAATCTCGTGTAATAATATACTCATACTCATATGCAATCTAGTGCAATAATATACTCATACTCATATGCAATCTAGTACAATAATATACTCATACACTCATTTATAAATTAGAGTACTTTCTGTGGAGGTCTCTTCTGTTACTTTCTCGAGTCTCTCTTGACTCCCTTTCTTTCTCTCGAGTCTTTATTGACTCTCATACTTGAGTCTCTATTTACTCTCATTCTTGAGTCTCTGTTGACTCTCTTTCTTTCTCTTATACTCGTAGACAGCTTAGGGTTTCACAGAAGTGTGACTTACCCCATCGGGAACGGCATAATTCTGACCCAATATCTCCTACCGTCTACGGAACCAATCTCGTGGTTCAAACTCTGTGGAATCAGGTATCGAACTATTAGTGTGCACACCCCCTAACCAGGATTCCAAGCCTGGCGGGAAGTTTCCAACCTCGTAACGTGGGAATACGCCGCGTTACATATACTGGGACCGCAATGTCCATAAATATATCCCGAGAGGAACATAGTCCAAACGGTATCCTCCAAAACCTCAGGATATAGATAATACATAAATATATCTCTCATGCATCAATCTCATGCATGCAACAATTCTACTACTTCTCAATGCATCAAAGAATGATATACCACATGCTTATGGTTTTTGAAAGTATTCTTTGACTCACGTTGGCCCCTTATGTATTTTTGAAATATGACCCATGTGAAATGTCAAAAATGCTCTATAACATGCTTCTAAATCATGTATAAACTAACATGAAGTATTCAAGAATATATCATCATGCTCGGTTTGCAACATAGCAATTTCTATATAATTCCCTCAACAAATATGTTTCTATTATCATTGATCAAATAACACAATTTAATCATAATGCTTTCATAATAAATCATATTCTCAAAATCATATCATCAGATCACAATAATCAAATAATTCTTCATACACAGTAAACTAGCAAATTATTCACTGTGTATCAATTCTTCACAAATTCCTTCATAACATACTTGTTTTTAATCAAAATTCAACGAAATCAAGGCCAAAACGTGCGTCGAGACGATCCCGAAGAGTCGAGCCACAAGGACCCGTAACACTCGGTCCAAAACGACACGTAGCTGAGCCACAAGGGCCCGGCCACTGCACAAAAACCCTTCACAGACTATACTCAGGGACCTGGGGCGGTCCCTCATGGTCCGCCCCTGGAGCCCCGTTGAAGCGCCGGGACTAGGCAACGACCCTCCTCTAGGGTCGTGCCTTAGTCCCGTGCCACCACAACTCTAGCCATCGGCCCTTCTAATGGACCGCGGCTAGGGCCGCCACTCTGATCTGGTGCACACTGTGTTGTGTACCAAATGTGATTTCACTTGCAAAATCTCATCCAAACAAATCCAAAACAAACTCAACAACTCACAAACACATAATAAAACTCTTCCAAGCATGAACACATCAAAAACTCATAGTTTCTACTCATTTCTACTCAAAACTAAGGATTCACAGAGCCAAATTTAAAGAGGAATCCATGGGGTTATACCCCTTGTAGTCTAATCTTCTTGCTTGGATCTCTTCTTCCGCTTGACCTAGCTTGAGCCTCCTTCACCACCTACACTTCCCAAACACACCTTCTATCCTTAGCCTAGAACCTCAAAGACTAAAGAAAACTAGAAGAGAAAAGAGGCTAGAATGAAGGATGAACAAGCTTACTAGGTTGTTGTCTCTCTTCTTGTTCTTGGCAGACAAAAATGTGAGGAAGAGGCAAAGAATGAGATCAGGAAAATAAGATGAAATAAGGTGGTTTATATAGGGTTCAAAACCCTAGGATGACTCACAATGATTGTTTGAGGGCAAAGGGGTAAGTTCCCAAGCTAAAAGATGAATCAATAAGGGATTTTGGATGTCTTGTGGTCCACCATGTAACATGAACCATAGGCTAGAAATGTTATCTTTTATTACTTTGGGGTTGAAAGTGAATTTTCCCAAAAGCTATATGGATGAACACTTGTTCAAAAATCCTTTTTGAATTATCCCGGTCTCACTCAGATAAAATTCTCGATTTAAATCTTGGTACGCAAAGTACCCAAAGACTTAGGGATTTTCGAATAGAATTCATGTCTTCGATGTCGAATAAATTTTAAAATGCGACGAAATTATTTTATTTCAACCACCGATTGATCGCAAAAATTTTTAATGGAGTGAAAAAGCTACTTTGAGATTTCTTAATACTGGATTTATAAAATGAAATTTTAGATTGTTACACTCTATCCCCCTTAAAAGAAGTTTCGTCCCGAAACTTAGAAGAAACGGGTGGATCAAGTTCTCGAAGAGAAAATGTGGTATAACCAAAAGGTTGGAATTTTCTGTTGAAAGAGTTGGGAAAGATTTAGGAATCTCTGAGTTCTTGTCTATCTTATCTAAAATCTAAACAACTACACCAATGAATCTATAAGTGAACTTAAGATCTTAACTAGTTACCTTGATCGAAGCCTCGCGAGGAATCACCTGGTGGCATGTAGCTCGGATCCCAAATAGCTTTGCAAAATATACCCATCATCTGATGATCTTTTCTGTCAAAGTGAGCTCTCTGGTTCAGGTCATGACACTACATTGCACCAGTAGTATGATCAATAATTATCAGTTTGAATACTGATTTTGTTTCACTATAATAATCAGTTTGAAGCAAAAAAAATTTTCTAGATTATTTGTTGAAGCTTTTAATATCATTGTCTGGTTGTAGGATGTATGAGAGAGGTTTACGTCATTATAATCCTAATGTAACTGACGAGCAAGTTGATTGTGAAGTTGAAAGAAATTTTGCAAAATGGTTTAAAGATTACGTAAGAATTTATATTAATTTCCATTCTTTATAGTATTCTTTATAGAGAGGTTTATGTCATTATAGTATACTATTACTTACTTGTTTACTAATATTAGGTGTACAATCCATTGAATAATGTGCATAACCAATGTCTGATTGATTTGGCAAATGGTCCTTTAATGGAGGTTAGCATGTACACTGGGTATGTCGTTAACAGTTTCAAACCAAAGTGTAATGTTTTAGAAAGTCAACTTCGAACTATGGGGTGTCAATTAAGGGAACAAGTTTGGCACAACTTGAATCATACTTTTTTGGCACATTACAAGAGGTCGTTGAGGTTGAGTACCCTAATATTCCAATTAAAAAGGTTGTCTTATTTAAGTGTGAGTGGTTTGACCCAACACCTAATATTGGGGTACGATTCAATTCTGAACATGGTATCACTGAGGTGCAATGCAATAGAAGGTATAATAAGTTGATCCTTTTATCATTGCACAAAGTGCATCTCAGGTTGTTACATTCCATACCCACGAGGTATAAAGGAGAAAGTAAATTGGTTGGTGGTATTGAATGTGCGTCCTAGAGGAACTATTGACAAAGCTTATAGTAATAGTGAAACTTATCAGCAAGATGACATGTCTTTGAAGAGATATGGTGAAGTTTCAACTCAAGAAGAAGTGACAAACTTAGTACACGAACCGTTACAAATAGATGAAGTACAATTACCCCCAGTTAGACAAGAACGGTTGGAAGAAGATAGTGAAGGGTTTGAAGAAGAATATAGTGAAGAAGAGAATGAGCAATTTGAGGATGAAGAGAAAAGGTTTAAAGAAGAATATAGTGAAGAAGAGAATGAGCAATTTGAGGATGAAGAGGCCGGGTGGATATTATGATGATGAAAAAAGTAGTGAATAATAATAACTAATGTGTAAGTGTGTAAATAAATAAAATAGAATAATAATAATTATTATTATTATTTAATATTAAAAAAAAAAAAAAAAAGCAAGTTGGCTACGGCTATATAAGGGAAGATATTAATTTTGACATTCTGAGAAATGAATCATCTTCGCATCTGAAGTTAAATCCTCTTCGCATCCCTAAATTCCCTTGGCGGAGTTGCTACTAAATCCTCTCCGCATCTGAAGTTACGGAATCGCTATCTTCAAGCCAAAGCTACGGATCAGAGTCATCGCCATCCTCAACTGAGTCCCACCTCAAGCTAAAGCTATGGAGTCGACATCCTCAACTGAGTCGCACCTCAACCGAGTCATCAACGGAGTCATTTCAAGCTAAAGCTGTGGAGTCCCACATCTTCATCCGCATCTCAACCAAAAGGTAATTGCATTTCAAATTTTCAATGCTATATATTAAGTGTACTAAATTTAGTCTCTGTTTAGGGTTTCTGAGTAGATATTAAGAAATAAACATTGTTGTATTTTTTTTCTTTTATACAGAGTCTAGACTCTAGATTCATAATTTTCATAGCAAAAGGAAGAAGAGAAATCTAAATTTCATATACTTTAAGCTTTGTAAGCAGGGTGAATCTAAATTTTCATAGGGTTTCTGAGTAGATGCACTGGGATAGTGCTTCTGTAAGCTTTCTTATATCTTCCAATGTGTGAGCTGCACTTAGTGTTATCCTTAACCTACAAGTCACAACAACCAAACCTCAGACAACACAACAATCTCAAGGTTTTGTTTATATTGCAGTGCAGCACCTACTAATTACTCACTTGAATTCTCATCAACATTTATCAGTTGCATGATATATTGGTGCATTATTCTCATCAAATAAACTGTTTTAGTTGTCTCAACCTTGGAGTAACTTTTCAAGTTGATCATGATAAGTAGCATCTACTTGGAAACAATGATTTCTAGTAATAGTTTGACTTAATGTTATGATCATAATACAGTTTCCGTTAAATAAGTAGCTATGTTGATTCTCTGTTAGACATCTACAATTGTCAGGAGTTCATATTGTTTGGAATCTAGACCTCAAGACTTGAGGTTGCATCTAGTACAATGGCAAAACATGGAAAATTTTCAGTTGATGCTAAGGCTCGTACTAAAACAAAACATATGAGAAGAAGAAAGAAGATATCTAAGGTATTATTATCTCTTAGTTATTTGTTGTTTAAGTTATTGTGCATATTTAACCTTGTTACTAATGAATAGAGTTGGCAGTTAATTAACAGTACTCTTTTTATAATGAATAGAGGTCTTCTACGCAGTGGAGAAAATCTGAAGCTCAAGATTTGGAACATCAAGATTTTGAGGTATGTTTGTTTTGACATTTTTGTGGCATTGACATCTTTTGGCATTCCAAATAATCATTAGTGGACTGAACTTTTCATTTTTGCTCAGTTTTAACTATGCAAATTTGCATGAAGCATTGATCATCTGAAGAAGCTTGCTTTGTGTGTGCATTCCCTTCTTTATGTAGGCTAAGCTTTTAACTTTTGCTTATGAATGTCTATCATTTGATTAAGCTATTTGGCACACACATAAATTGAAGTAAGCATTACACTAAATGTAGTTGCGGTTGGTAAAACCATCACCCATATGACTTGGAAAACAGCTTTTGATAAACATTTTCCTTATGATTAAGCTACTTTTTAATCTATCAGTCTATTACCCATTAGGTTAGATAACATTGTTCATCCAATGGGACTACTTGAACTATTCTACATGAGGATCAAAATGTGATGCCATTTATTTATTTTGTTGCATGATGGAAACATTTAGCTTGGTCTGTTTAAATTGAAGTAAGCATTACACTAAATGTAGTTGCGGTTGGTAAACCCATCACCCATATGACTTGGAAAACAGCTTTTGATAGACATTTTCCTTATGATTAAGCTACTTTTTAATCTATCCGTCTATCACCCATTAGGTTAGATAACATTGTTCATCCAATGGGACTACTTGAACTATTCTACATGAGAATCAAAAGGTGATGTCATTTATTTATTTTGTTGCATGATGGAAACATTTAGCTTGGTCTGGTTTAATATTAACCTCTATTACCATAGGAAATTGTTAACATGGAGTACATGTCTCTATTGCAGCTATTGAGAAATTATGCAACTGCATCTGCTTCAAAAGAACAAAATGTTAAGGTAAGTTGGCTATGGGAGCTTTAATAGAGGACTTAAATAAATAGTGGCTTTAAAGTTATTTTGGACTACTTTAGGAACATTAAAAGGGGAAAATTTGTCATTGCTATGAACCTTTGCTACTACAACCATCATCTTGCCTACTATTTGGTAAAAGATATGCTCTGTATCTATTTGCAAGTATTATTGTGCACTTTAACTCCCTCAGGTAGATAATCATCAAGATTTACTAACAGGAGCCTTATTGTTGAAACAATTATACTGAGTTATCTCTGTTATGTTTTCACATCTGAGTTTCTAGTGACAAAATTTCAGTTCATTTTAAAATCGCAAAAGAAACTTCCTCTATAATTTAAATCATCTTTCCCTGTAAAGTAAACTTTATTTTTGGAGGAAAATGCAGAATTAATTTCAACTGACTTTGTTTTATTTGTGAACATAATATGCCTGATGTCTCAGCATAACAATAAACGCAAGGGTAAAGGAATTGCTCTTCCACAATCTGAAGAACTGATATTGCAACCTCCATCAATGGCTATTTTAGAAGAAGATCATATGCAAATACAAATGATTCCTACGCCACTGAACATTGTGCGACAAGAGTTACATGATACTGATTCAGAGCGTACAATATCAACTGGTCCAAGCACAAGTAATAGTCATATGGCAGGAGGACCATCAACGAGCAGTTCTGAACTAAGCAGTCGCAATAAGACCTTTATTCATCTTATTAGCAATACAACGTAAGTAGTTTTGAGTGCTGGTGTGTTAGTACTTTCAAAATATCATTTATTTTTATTTGTTTCTAAATTTGTAATGCATTGCAGATTCGAACCTAGTAGTGTGCACACAAATATTATGCCTTGCATTAAGCGGATATTCCCTGAGGCAGTTAAAACTTTTAAAACTGCTCCTCAACATCTTAAGGATGTTTGGTTTAATGAATTCAAGGTAAAGCATTATACATTTGGCATAATATTTGAAAAAAAAAAAATGCTGCTAAAAGGCTATTTTTTGTTTCAGAAACGACATGAATGGGATCCTAATGACGAGGATACTGTTCGGATGATATTTGAGAAAAGGGATGCTAAATTGCTTGCTGACGCGTTAAGTGATGTGCGCACAAGATTGGCATCAGGAAATGGAGTACCAGGATGGATCTGATCTTGTATTGGCCCAATACCATGTCATATGGAACAACAATGAATTCAAGAAGATAAGTTAGAAGAATAAGCGTAATAGAAACTTAGATTGTGGAGGAATAGGTCCATCATTATACACTGCAGGTCATACGGAACAGCAATGAATTCAAGAAGATAAGTGAGAAGAATAAGCGTAATAGGAACTTAGATTGTGGAGGAATAGGTCCATCATTACACACTGCAGGTTCTATCCCTATCACCAAACATAGAAGAAGACTAGTAAGTTATATACAATCAATTGATACCTATTTTTGAATAGAAAGAAAATTTATATTGAATTTATATTAAGTATTATTTCTACTATTGTTGAATATAAAGAAAAGCTTGGAAAGAAACCTACTTATATAGAACTATTCAATGATACGCACACACTTAAACAAGGAGGAGAATATGTATGCCGAAAAGCGCATCAAGTAATTGTAAGATTCCATATTCAATGTTGCTTTAATATAGAACTATTCAATGCTATTGTTTTAAATAATTACATATCTTAAATATCAATTATTAGTTGAATAAGAAAACTTTGCTATGAGTTTCTGTTTTGCTATGAGTCTAGAAAGATTTATTATTACAACAGTTCTAACACAAGCCAATTTAGACGGATAAATGTGAGTTTCTGTTTGAGTATAGTTGCTTACCATTTAGTTCTGTGAGTTTCTGTTTTGCTATGTGAGTATAGTTGCTATGAGTTGTTCCCAGGCTATACCTGGATATATATGTCAAAGAAATGCATTCCCAGGCTGAAATAACTGAAATAAGTAAGTGAAAGAGGATAAACGCGAGCATTCATATACAATTTAGAGAGACCTGATGATGAAACATGTGTTTTAATCAGTAGAATCATCCAAGAAATCCCATGCGCTACTGAATCCCCAATAACCACTGTTGCTATTGTAGTACTTTGCAGAACTACCTTTAACTTCTACATCCCCTACATATTTAACTTCCCAGTTTCCCTCATTGATAGGCACATCACTTCCACCAGAATTTACATGCAAGGAACAACCATCTACACTGTTTGAGTATAGTTGCTTACTATCTACACTGTATGCATAAATATTTGGCTTCAAATCAAGTTGCTTACCATTTAGTTTACCATAAATATTTAGCTTACCATCTATACTGTATACCATCTACACTGTTTGAGTATAGTTGCTTACCATTTAGTTCTGGGTTTCGATCTATTTGAGTACAGTTGCTTACCATCTTACACTGTATGCATAAATATTTGGCTTCAAATCAAGTTGCTTACCATTTAGTTTACCATAAATATTTGGCTTACTATCTACACTGTATACCATCTACATTGTTTGAGTATAGTTGCTTACCATTTAGTTCTGAGTTTCTGTTTAAGCATAGTTGCTTACCAATTTAGGCTTTTTTTTTTCCTCAGGAAACAGTGACAGACTTGAAGCAAAAACAACCTGAAATGGCATAAACAACAGTGTGGTTGAAGGCCACTGGTGGTGTGAGGAAAGGGGGGTCCATTTCAGGATTTGGGTCGGATACCCAACATTACTTCCCGGAGGCTATGATACACCAGAAATCAAAGATTGGGCCATCAACTTCACATGCATCTTGCGAGGCTCGAATTAAGCAATTAGAAGATCAGAATCAAGTAATGCATCAAAAGCAAAAGGATATGGAAGAGCAATACCGTAGTATATGTGAGACTGTCCAGAAAATGGAATCAGCATTTGCCAACTTTAGTGCACAGCTTAATAGTCCTAACTTGGATGGTATTCGCAGTAATGATGATACACAGCCCCCCTCCGATCAGTCCGAGGATAATACACTATCCCCCCACTCTGATCAAGATTAGATAGTGTAGTATTTGAATGTTTTTAATATGTATTTTGGATGGTGAAACAATTGCTACAACTTTTTTTTTTTGAAAGCACAATTGCTACAACCTTATTAGCATGTTTAGCTAATATTTTGACAAATGTATTTTTGATGGTGAAACAATTGCTACACTTTGATTTGAATGATTGACTAATGTTTGATTTCCCTAAATTGTTAATTGTATTGTAGAATTTGAATTTCAATTGTAATAGGTCAAATTCATTTGCTATTTGTAGAATTTTAATTTTTAATTTTTTTTGTTAGTAAATCTTACCGACCACCCTAGTGGTCGGCAATACAAATTTTAATTTTTTTCTTGGTAAAGCGTACCGACCACCGGTGGATGGTAATTCTGACCAATTACCGACCACTAGTGATAGGAAATATGCTCCCCTTATTCGACAACCATTAGTTCCGACGTCCTAAAAAAGAAGCCGGTATTTTTGACCACTTTGACTACACTACAAAAAATTCGCGGATTTCCGACGTACCTTTGGGACGAAGACGGTGTAAGTCCGTTCTTCCGACTAAAAAACGATGAGCAAAACAATAAATTTATTTTTTCCGATATTCTTTATTATAGGTCGGTATTTTTGTTGGTAAATATATACCGACATATCAGATTCGTCGCTTCAAATCCCAATATTAAAGGAACAAAAAATATAGCGGGAAGTAGATCGGCGTTCTTGGGAACCTGCGAAGAGAAGTGTCACCTTTCCAACCTTATTTCCTACGCCAAAGAGGAGTCAAGTTCTGCTGTTCAGATTTATTTCTCAAGTTTCTTCCTTTGTGAGTTCTCTTCAACTGTTCTTGTTCTACCGGTCTACTAAACCTTCCGTTGTTCTTCTTTTCTCCCTTTCCATGTGAGTTCGTCGGCAGTCAACAGTCAAGGTAAGGATTTCTATTCTGATTTTCTTTACTTTCCTCTGTCTAGATTTGTTTTTGTGGTTTGCATGACATTTAGAACTATCATTCTTGGCTAGGATAAACACTTTGTATTTTATTTTGTTAAACTATGTTTTTTTTTTTTTTTGGATTTTTAATTATTTCTGGTATTTTGTTTTGTTTTTGGGCGTGCTTGGCCTTAATCTGAACTGCGGATGAGATTAGGGTTTAGAATTTATCAAATTTTTGGCCTTAATATGAATTTGTGCTTCACTTCTTGTCCTTCATATGAATTTCTTGGCCGGGAAGTTGACTGTCATATGCATGCTTAGACAAGTTTACTGGAAAACCAGGCCACCAGTAATTCACAATTGGTGCTAAAAGTACTGCTCTTGTCAATGTGCTTATAAACAGAAACACTTCAACAAGGATGAAACTGATCAAGATTGACTAAAAAAACTGAAAATTTAAAGGAGAGAAAACCTTCAAAGACAATAAATAGGCTGAACTTTATTTCAATATTGTTCGCTGTTTCTACAATTTTTATCTTTTGGTTCTGTTATTATGATTTTTTTTTGCTAGAAGTGCTTTATTTTTATTTTGAAATATAATATATTTTATGGGGAATGTTTGAACTGAGTAAAGATCAGACTCTTCTATGAGTGATACATGAATAGAAGAGACAAAGGCAATAGCTTTTTGGCTTCTAACTTAATAAGAGGCAGTTTCGCCATCTTCTTGCTCCAATCTGTGGTGGTTTAATATTGTAAGGTTTTGCTAGTATCAAATCATGTACTACATCCCGAGGAAGTGCTCGGCCACAAATAGGCTTATCACTTCTAAGGATCATGCATCTGTCCAGATTAATGCTGGTCATTTGAATGACAATGGTGCATATTTAAGGATGTAATTTTCATTTAAAAAATTAAAATTCGCGGGTGAATTATTAAGTTTGGCGGATGAAATTTCACAAATATGCAAACATCGACATTCTCTGTGAGTTGAGTGTTTGAAATAAACAAATATATACAATCTTCTTTTTTCATCTTTCCACATCCAGAGGAATCACGTCCTCCCCCAATATTTAGCCCTAGATACAATCTTCTCCTTTCTTTCCTTCTACATCGCCTCATTACAATGATTTTGCCATCTCCATTGTAGTCCATCGAGACCAGTCTGTGAGCGGAGGCCTTGCGACGACTTCGACTTTGCGAGGCGGTTCGGCGGCGAGGTTAGTACCTTAGTGGAATAGTGGTCTTCTTACTCTTCTATACATTTATACTACATGTACTCCTGTAGAACAGCTGAGATGTGGCCCTGCTGTAGGGTGGTGCAGTTTCTGTCTCCTGTAGGCTGCTGCTGCCTCCGTCGATGGCAGTGGCACTGGCTGGTACTGGCTCCGCAGGTGGCGGCGGCTGCTACTCCTTAAACCCAAAAAAATAATTGGAATTGCTATTTTTTTTAAACCATTGAAATTGCTATTAATTGTTAAATTTTCAGTATTCTTAGATTTTAGTGTGTTGTTAAATTTCCAGTATTCCTCAACTTTCACTGACAGTCTAAGTTAACAATGAAACTGTTAAGGTAAATATTGCCTGTGGTTTTCTTGATAAATATTACTGTAATATGTTATATATTAATGAACTAGTTAATATAATTAAGTACTTCATGTAATTTGATTACATTTTCTAGCATTTTGGAACAATCATTTTATTTTGTGGATAAATTCGTTTAATTAAACTTTATTACATGTGCACTTATTTAATTAGAAGAATAGATATGGATGATATATCCAATCACCGAAGATGGATGTATAATCGATTAATGCCAGGAAGGAGGGGGTTACATGAAGCATTTATTGATGGTGTTGATGAGTTTGTGAACTTTGCAACTGCACAGTCCGAGTATCAAAATAATGAGGTGATTAGATGTCCTTGTAAAAAATGTAGAAATCTATATCATTTAAAGCCAGAGGATGTTAAGGTTCATCTATACAAAAAAGGATTTGAACCTAACTATTGGGTTTGGACATGCCACGGAGAAGAACTACCTCAACAAAGTGGTGAAGCAACGATTAATGATTCTAGGGGAAATGCACAAGATGCAGAATTGAATCAATATGAGTCAATGTTGTGTGATATTGCTGGTCCAAGTTTCAACCCAAATATTGATGAAGTTGAATGTGACATCCCACATGAGTCTTCAAAGAAATTCTATGACTTATTAGAGTCAGCTAGACAACCACTATGGTCCGGAAGCAATGAAGAAACTGAGTTATCATACACCTTGAAGATAATGGACATCAAATCCACATTTAACATACCACAACTAGCAATTGATGCAATATTACAACTACATAATCGGGCATTTGGTCCTAATCGTGTGCCTTTAACCTATTATCAATCACAAAAAATGATTGGTAAATTAGGTTTGGGATATGACAAGATAGATTGTTGTGTGAATGGGTGTATGTTATACTACAAGGATGATGTGGAACTAGTTTCATGTAAAGTTTGTGGAGAAGCAAGATATAAGACTGATAGGCATACCAGATCTCATCTCAAAAAGGTTTCACGAAAAAAAATGCACTACTTGCCCATCATTCCTAGGTTGCAAAGGTTGTATGCATCGCCTAACTCCGCAAAACACATGCGTTGGCACTTTGAAAATCGCCGTGAGCCAAATGTTATGTGTCATCCATCAGATGGTGAGGCATGGAAAAACTTTGATACAATTTACCCAGAATTTGCTGCAGAACCTCGGAATGTTAGGCTAGGATTGTGTGCAGATGGCTTTTCTCCATTTGGTATGAATGCTAAAACATATTCATGTTGGCCAGTCATAGTTGTGCCCTATAATCTTCCTCCCTCAATGTGTATGACAATGTCATACATGTTCTTATCTTGTGTAATCCCAGGAAAAAGCAATCCTAAGGCAAAAATTGATGTGTACTTGCAACCACTCATTGATGAATTGAAATTATTGTGGGATACAGGTGTAGTGACTTATGATATCTCATTGAAACAAAATTTTTTGATGAAGGCTGCATTAATGTGGACCATTAATGACTTTCCCGCATATGGGATGTTATCGGGTTGGCAAACAGCAGGAAAACTAGCATGCCCTTATTGTATGCATAATTCAAAAGCATTTTACCTAAAGAATTCTAGGAAAAATTCTTGGTTTGATTGCCACCGTCAATTCTTGCATCTCAACCATCAGTTCAGAAGAAATAGAGATGGGTTTCTCAAAAAGAGGATAGAAAAGAGTAGAATTCCTCAAGTATATACGGGTGATGAGTTGTTTGAGCGAGTATCTACCTTTCCAAAAATTACAGAAGGTGTGATTACTCGACAAATTGGTTATGGACACACACATAACTGGACGAAGAAGAGTATATTTTGGGATTTAGTATATTGGAAAGATCATTTGCTCCGGCACAATCTTGATGTTATGCACATTGAAAAAAATGTTTTTGATAATGTGTTCCATACTGTGATGAATGTTAAAGGCACAAATAAGAATAAAGATAGTGTAAAGTCTCGATTGGATGTACATGAGTATTGTAACCGACCGCAATTACATTTAGTTGAGCATAATGGAAAAGTGTTTAAGCCGAAAGCTAATTACACTTTGGAACGGGATGAACAAAGAGTTGTGCGTGAGTGGGTGCAAAATTTGAAGTTGCCAGATGGGTTTGCATCAAATGTAGCAAACTGTGTAGATCTTAATGAAAACAAATTGTGTGGTTTGAAAAGCCATGACTGTCACATCTTTATGGAATGCTTGATGCCAATTGCGTTTTCTTTGTTACCCCATACATGTTGGAAAGTTATAGCAGAACTAAGCATTTTCTTCCGTCATCTTTGTTCTGCCACACTGTTTGTGAATAAGGTTCAAGAATTAGAAGAGAGCATTGCACATTTGATTTGTAAATTAGAAAGAATTTTTCCTCCAACATTTTTTGACTGTATGGAGCATTTACCAGTTCACTTACCGTATGAAGCAAGATTAGGAGGACCAGTGCAATACCGTTGGATGTATCCATTTGAAAGATTTCTTAATTTCTTAAAAAGAAAGATAAAGAATAAGAGTCGGGTAGAAGGTTCTATATGTGAAGCATTTATCATTGAAGAGACTACTACTTTTGCTTCATATTATTTTGAAGCTCATGTGCAAAGTAGACATACAAGGATTGGTCGGAACTTAGATGATGGTGGAGTTAATAATGCAACACCATATACACTATCTGTGTTCAACCTTCCAGGCCGCCTTATGGGTGCTTCAAGCAAAAGATATATGGATGAAAAAGAAGCCGATGCAGCACATCAACATATTTTGCTCAATTGCGAAGAAGTAAAACCAATTCTAAGGTACTAGTCATTAAACTTTCATTAACATTTTTTTAAAGAAAAATGTAACCCAAATTATAAATTACATTAAGCATTATGTTTTTTAGGATGTTTGAAGATGGATTGTGTGCATTAAATCCTGGGATTACAAATGCGCAAGTGGACAAAGAAGTTGAAAACTATTTTGCAAAGTGGTTTCAAACTTATGTAAGTATTACAATTATATATGTATTTAGTTTACAACATTTTTTATTACTATAATTGTGCCTAAGCTCATTAATTGTATAAAATAATTTAGGTAAATCATTACAGAGATGGGTTACAAAACAAATTTCTCATTGATTTAGCATGTGGTCCACTGTTGGAAGTCAAAACATACTCTGGATACATTGTGAATGGGTATAAGTTTCAAACCTATTCATATTGTAATGGCAAATCTACTACAAATAGTGGAGTGTGTGTTAAAGGGACAGGACTTGCTGAAGGTGAAGCTGATTTCTATGGCATTTTGAATGAGATTGTTGAAATTGAGTACCCAAATCTACCAATAAAAAAGGTGGTTCTTTTCAAATGTGAGTGGTTTGATCCTATGCCTAATATTGGTACTCGAGTGCTCTCTGAATATGGCATTGTTGAGGTGCGGCAAAACCGAAGATACCAAAAGTATGACCCCTTCATTATCGCTCAAAATGCTTCTCAAGTTTATTATTTGCCATATCCTCGAGGCGCTAAAGACAAGTCAAATTGGTCAGCTGTAATAAATGTAAGATCAAGGGGCACATTTGATGACCAATACAAACTTAATACAGCCTTCCAACAAGAAGTGATACTGACAGGAGCTATTGGACATGCAGAGTATGAGGAGGACCAAGAAAACTTCTTGCATGAACCATATGAAATGGAAGAAGTTGATGGAAGTTCATTGTTTGAACAAACTCATGAACACATCAATGACAATAACGATTTAGATTCAGAAAGTGAATTGGAAGGTTCTTTTGATGATACCGTTAGTGAAGAATCTGACCAGTATAGCGAACAAAGTGAGAATAATGATCAAGATAATATAAATGATGAAGATGAAGACGAAGATGATGACAACTAAAGTACCCTGCAAATGGAATGTAATGTGGTAACTTTTTTGCTTTAATTAACATACTCACTTTATTTGTTATATTAATTGTTGCTATATATTATATACTAATCCAACTTCAAAACTTGTGCTTTGCAGGAGTCCTAATAAGAGTTGAAAGAAGAGGAGCTCATTCAAATTATGGCATTTTGTATGCATTTGAATATATATTTTAATTTGAGTGATGTATTGTAAACTAATATATGTTAATATTTTTGCAATGAAGCAAACATGTGTTAATTTAGTCACTGATTGAGGTATTTAGATTATAAATTATTAAATTTTGTTGGTGGAAATATATTGTGTTGACAGTGTGTAGAAGCCAGCATGAAATCAAAAATTGTCATTTGCTTCTAATAATTTTCAGACGTAAGACTTCATAGGAAACCAATTCTACATAATTAAAAGCACTTACTTACCGACGTAAGGCTGGTCTGAAACATATTAATCAAAAAATAAAGTTTAAACTTTCCGACATAAAGTACGTCGGCAAATATTTGTTTCAAAATAAAAATATAACATTACCGACGTATCATTCGTCGGAAACATTTTCATTTAATGTTAGATTTTAAACTTTCCGACGAATAGTACGTCGGAAAATATATTTTTTAAATAAAAAAGATTTCAATTACCGACGTTGTATACGTCGGAAAATAAATCGAAACAACGGGTCGTTTCTTCCCGGAGCTTAACGACGCATAATACGACAAATAAAATGTACGTCGGAAATTTCCGACTACTTTTGTCGGGAACGAAATTTACCGAGATGCAATTTTCAGATTTCCATTTTACGTCGGAAAACATGTCGAAAACTTCAATTGCGACGCAAATCATATTATTTCCGACGTTTTTTGGTCCGTCGGAAAATCGCGAAATTCTGGTAGTGCTAGTTGTCGGTAATAGCTAGGGATTTGTTTCCGAATCTATAAAGTGGTCGCTAAGTTGGTCGGAAACTGCATTTCTGACCGGAAATGTCCCTTTTCCAACCACTTTTTGGTGGTCAGAAAAATGCAGATTTCCAGCAGTGTTTGTATTCATTATTTTTAAATTTAGTTATTTTAGCTCTTTCTAGGTTCCATTTTTGAACTTAGAACAACTGCTTCTGGTCAATCAATTAAGTCGGTGTGAAAATGATCTTTCTAACAACACAAATGCTGAATTAGACGAAATGCACACACCTTTTGTTAATTTGACCAATGGTAATTTTGTTCAACCATTTTTACAATTAATTTCTTAAAATATGAATTCATTTTTTATTTTTTATTTTGTCATCATACTCATTTGAAATATAGACCACTCATTGAGCTTTTGTAATGGAACACTATTGATTGCGTCAAAGTTACGAAACCATGTTATTGAAGTTCAAATTCTTTGTGGACACCATGCCGGTACAAATGTTTTGATTCCACGTTTGACATTGACTGCTCAAGACTTCTTTTTAAATTTCAAAAGAAGAAATTTCCTGTTATGTTATCATACGCCATGACAATCAACAAAAGTCATGGACAAACATTATCTCATGTCAGGTTGTTAATTAAAACCCTGTATTTAACCATGGTGTACGTGCAATTTCGAGAGTTAGTAATCCCGATGATCTTAAAGTTTTAATTTGTGATGAACGTAGAGGTTTTTTAAACATTACTCAAAATGTTGTTTACGAAGAAATTGATAATAATATGTAATTTTAGTTATGTGCAATGTTATAAAATATTTTTACTTTTATTTGCTATTATCTAAGTCTGTACTCTTTTTAATTGTAACTCTAACCATATGATTGTGCACCGCACATGTGAAATACTAGTTCATCTAATTTTGTGATCAATTTACACAATAAGCATAATTATGAACTAAGTGGAAGAATTTTCTATACAACATTCTACTATACTAATAAGAGCATCCTTATCAGTTGAGGTTATTTCTAAGTTATTTGTGGGTCCCAGCATCCACCTCATCCTCTATCATCTCATTCAATTACAAAAAGCCCTTCTCCACATCAATTTTGAGTTATTTCTCAGTTTTTATGCACCCACCAGTTAACTCACTATATTTTAATTATTTCTCTTACTTATTGGGACCACAAATATACCATACTTTGCATAAGAAATATTTTTGAAATAACTCCTCCCCACATCAGCTATTAACTTTGAGTGGAGAGAATTCATGTAGAAATAACTACTAGTGTGGATGCTCTAAGAGCCAAAAGAAGTTGGACCTATAATAGGTAGAAAAATGTCTGTCAAATTATTAAATCAAAAAGAAGTTAGGCTTATAATGAGTATAAAAAATATCGTCAAATTATTAAATCAGATAAATCCCGCTTCGCCATTTAAGCATTGTCTTCTAAATATGATTTTGGATTTTGGTTTCCAGTCTTTGATTCTTGGCATTAGGTTTTCCACATTGCTAAATCGCTATGATTTTTCCCGTTAACTTCATCTGAATGAGACAATTTGGGCATCCATTTGTTTACAGAAGTTGCTTGATACTATCGAGAAGAAATACGGTAAAGATATTGTCCAGTTGATTGGTCTTCTAAATAGATTCGGGGTTTTGGTCGACTGCTGCGTTTGATGCAGGAGAGGGAAGCCGGTCGAGCGTTCGTCGACCTGGTGGTGTGCCCGCTTTCCCGGTCGGCTTTTGTAGTTTTGTCTCCAGCTATATATCATGTGAGTTTATGTAATTTATGTAATTCATGTGTTTGGATTCTGGTTTATGCCTCTCTTAATCTACTCTTTTTGTTGGATTCTGGTTTATGCCTCTCTTAATCTACTATGGAAATTTGTTAATGATGGATATGATCATATGAATGAAATATATTGATTATATATGTTCTGTATTAAAATTGAATGAACTTTTTGTCTGCTGGGCTTTAGTTTATTATGCACTTATAATGTGTTTTTTATGAATTTTATGGTGTTCCCTGTTGAAGTTTAAATTTGCATGGTGCCCCAATTATTCTGTTTTCTTATACATGTTTTGTAGAGCTTCCAAGGCCTTCAAATTGTCCAATGGATTACTATACGTTGTGGAGTTTCGTGTTCTGCCAGTGGGGCTCCTGGTCCTGGAAAGTCTTTGATTCAACTGAATGGTATAGCTCATCTAAATTATTTATTATATAAAGTGAAGCATGGGTGGCGAACTGTAGCGAAGAGATAGCATTGAGATTCCAATTTGGTTTTTGACATTTGAAATTGCAGAATCCAAACTATTGTGAAAAACTATTTTCATTCATTGTATTTTTCATGGTACATTTAGTGTTTAGAATTTTGTAATTCCTTACGCTTCTAAGATGTTTGCCGCTTTTTTGTAAATTTTGGTGCTTTAGGGTTGCTCACAATATCGGCCTAAATCAACTAGCCAGCGAAACTGATTAAAATTTTCTGATTAATCTTTGTTAGTAAAGAAGGGACTTATCATTTAAATGGTGGATCCATCAAAATTGTCATGGCTACAAATAAAGCATGCCAAACACAAGAAGCCACGAATGAAGCATTTTGATAAGAAGATGTGTTTTTAGGTAAATTAGTTGTGCATAGGCAGCATTACTCAGATCTTGAAATTTAATTGCCTACAGGGGGGGGGGGGGGGGGGGGGGACTACAAGCTAAAAAAGCTCTAGCACCTTTCAAATGAGATTTTAACTTAAACATGATAAATGGTAGATTGAGAGAGATGCTTAACAACACATTTACCAAAAATTAGAAAATGACAGAAAAGAAAGACAAATTAAACTTGATACTTTCTTGAGAAAAAAACATTAATAGAACAAATCTCAAAACTTCTTCTCGCGCGTACATGGGTACTCAGGATGAATTGAAATTGAAGAATTCGAATGTTATACGGAATAATTTATGTGAATCTGTGATAAAGATTTCAGTAGATATATACATGTTTTAACACTAAGGTTTTCCTTTGGCACCATATAAAAAATTTCGTATGAATATACAATATCAGTATAAAAAAATTTCAGTATTGCAAATAAAATTACAAAAATCAATTCTGGGAATATAAATCCATATTAGTATTGCACATGTATTCTGTTTTTTTTTTTTTTTTTTTTTTTTTTGTATACATACATTTTTACCGTATTATATATGTATGTTTTTGGAAAAGAATATATCATCAAAACCTGTTTTTGGAAGTGGTAGTCGCCGGCGCTTGAGCCGTTAGCGGCGAAGTCAGGCCACCCCGACCTGAATCCTCCATTCATGGCCCTTCGATGGCCAAAGCTTAGTCGCCGCCATATGGCTCCAATCTGTGAGCGGAACCAACACTAACTTCCCCATCTACTCCCCCGCCTGAAGCAGCTCCTCTCCATTTCCCAGGTCCAGTTGAACAACCTCGCATTCGCCAATGACGCCGGAAAGTTATTCGGGCTGGTTTTCCGGCATTGCAGCGCTCTATCTCCCCCTCTGGCTCGTCCTCCTCGTCGGCTACGTAGTTGCTTTTTTCCGGCAACTACGGCGACTATTAACGGCAGGACGGAATTAAGAAGGAGAAAAGAGTGGGCTGTGTCAGTAGGGGAAGATGCGTTAATGGCTTCCACCATATCCGTGAAAATCTTAGCGCTTAACCGGACATAGCTCGTGGAAATCCCCACCGCGACCTGGCGGTCCGACGGGAAATTCCGGATGAGGACGATGTAAAAGATCGTGTTAACCCAACAAATGTTGTTTCCGGCAAGAGCAGTTAGGATGAATACCTGCCAGTAGGAGAGGGAGGCGATTTTTCCGACGAGGAAAAGGTACTGGACTCCGTAGCCGATGTGGAGGACGAGCCAGAGGGGGAGGTAGAGCGCCGCAATGCCGGAAAACCAGCGGAATAACTTTCCGGCGGCGGCGTCATTGGCGAATGCGAGGTTGTTCAGCTGGACCTGGGAAATGGAGAGGAGCTGCTTCAGGCGAGGGGAGTAGACGGGGAAGTTGGAGTTGGTTCCGCTCACGGATTGGAGCCATATGGCGGCGACTAAGCTTA